AACTACTTGATGCTCTATCGCCCGGTTATATCGCTCCGCATCGGAACACAATTCAGCGTAATCTAGAAGGACTGTATAACTATCATTATGCTAAACTAGCTCAGAACAATTTTTGAAGTTCTTCTCCTAGATTCGATCTGTCGACCTTCATATCGTTGCACTTCTCCAACCGACACTTATGTATAGTATAGCTAGTAACATGCGAGTGACCACTTGTAAAGACCATTTAAATATATACGTAAGTGTACGGTCTTATTGAGAATGTCGCTCCCGATGCGGTAAACAAATGTTTTTTAACGCTGGTTTTCACATATTTCTGTCTTGAAAAACATGAAAGTTTCGTGAACTTTCCTTAAAAGTGGAAGAAAAACGTTAGACTTTGGAAAAATTCTTGATGATTTTAGTAGTAAACATTAAACTTTTCATGACGTGGGTTATATCACTTTTCGTCCTCTCCTTCTCAAAATAGCGAAGTAAATTAACTTTTCACTATTTTGCATCCGTCATCAGTCAACTTAGGCTCGTCTAACCCGTCGCTTGTTGCAAAAGCAGGTTCTGTTAGATGTTTCCTTCCAATTCCAAAGTGTAAGGTCTACAAAGAGGATCCCCTCCTCTAAATAACATAAGGTGGTTGAGAAAATCAACAGTATATGCTGTACTCAGGTACTGATAATATTATTCATAAGGGTTTAAAAACTTAAGTTCATTGTACTGAAGAACTTACCGAAGTATTTGGTTCAAGTAATCAATGGTAAATATTGTAATCAAGCACTTATGATCACGTATGAGGACCTAAAAACTGATATACCATGCACTCATGAACATAGAATATACAGACCCAAGTACTTGATTAAGTACTTAATTCAAGTAAATTACATGTGCTGTTACAAGTCCTTAAGGAGTTCCCCGTCAGGAATGATGATTTTCAGCCAAAAAGTCGATTTTGAGATAAGCACATGGAAAGATAGCCTGAAGTGTCTACCTTCAGAATCTATATCTCTTTCGAGCCTAGAAGTGGCTTTTCTTGGTTTTTGAGCAAGTTTTCTAGGAGCCTTGAAAACCAGGGCTTTCAAATAATTATATTTTCCTGGTTACTTGTGTGCAGTTAAACTTTTTTCTGAACACGCAGATTTAAAGAGAAAACTTTTCTGGTCAAAATAATGCCTCGGATTTCTGTGTGACCTTGCGTCAAAAAGTTGCAAACATTTCCCTACAAGTCCTAAAACGGATCAACCAATACACAGCATCTTCTCTCAAAATCAGTTTTTTAGAGTATACCGTTTACGCGGGCGAACCTTTCTCAATAATGACTCAATATAAAAGTGGTAATGTTTTTTTGGTATAAAGCAGACACTTGAGGCTAAGTCATAATAGAGCCCGATTTTTGAATTTTTCCTTTGTTTAAATAAAAAACTTAGATCTTTGGTGTTAATTAACGATTTTTTGACCACGAATTTGAGAATTTTTCGAAAAGGTTTTATTAAAAGCAAACAAAGAGAAATTAAAAAATCGGGCCATGGTGTGCACTCCGCACGACTGTTTCCTGTCGTTTGAAATCATCCCCGAAATGTTAGCTCATAACTGGGTGGGCAAGGACCCTCGTTAAAAGCGGTTCGGACGCACAATGTTTTAACTATAACTTTGATATCTTTCAAGACTTTTTCAAAGTGTTTCGCTGGATGTTAGTTTTTCATTAATCCCTACATTCTGTGAAATCCTCATAATGATCGGGTCATGAATACTCCAAGATCGATTCTGAGGGAGAGTCCCCCGTAAACTCGCAACCAAGTTCTTGTGACATTCCCAGACCAAGTTCTTACCTAAGTCCTTGGTTACAAGTACATTCATAAGGATATCGGCATTGTTTTCGATTAATATTTGTAATTGTCGCGCTTAGGATGCATATTGTGTTATTCTCAGTTGAGACAGATGCCAAAAAGAGATTGGGAAAAATCACCGCGATTATTACGGTTGAAATTGCTTAACTTCGAGTATTTCCAGCATCAACAACTAGATAACATCATTAGTTGTTTATATTGCTGTACTGTCTGGCATATAGGTATATCACTTATTTCAACGTTATATGAATAGATGAAATTAGATTAGTGCGATAGGACATTGTTTTTTAACAACAAGATCACACTATGTTACCTCTGTACAAAACAGATGAGCAAAATCCAGTATCAATTGATTAAGAACCGCGTGTTTTATCCTTCATAAACATTTTGAATATAGAAAATAGTACATTTAAAACCAAGAAAATTGAGAAACGCTTTCTAAAAGCCAGGTGCTTTTATGCACTTTGCATCAACTTGAATTATCGCAAAAACTTTCAAATTCTTCAACATGATCGAAGTAATCAATCGTTTAACCTCTTGAATGCCGTTATTTTTCCTCTTCTGCGTCCAGGGCATGCATATGTAAAAAAATGATTAAATATCTCTCTTTGCGTTCTGTTGTTTTCGTCACATGTTCCTCTGCCACTTTTTTTCGTTAAAACGATAGAACGAAAAAGCATATGCAACATATAAAATTTAAAAAAAAGATATCTCCTTTTGTCCCTTTCGTTGCTCAAGGCCTAATATATGAAAAGCTTTTGTCTTTATGTCTGCAGCAAGAATAGTACAAAGTTTTTATTGTGTCACGAAATCTTGTTTTATACCAGTTCAGTAGCACCTCTAGCAGCTTAGTAAACCTGCTTAAGAGGAGGTCGGCATTTCCTTGTATTTTTCTTTTTTAACGGAAGATTAAATTCAGTTCTTTCTCTTTTCTATACTGAAGAGGGAATAAAATTTTTCGACACTCAAACAGTTACAGAACACAAAACTACGTTGGGTTTTTCCAACAATGACTCATTGATCGTCAGCAGTAGAAATCGAAGAGATCATACTTGTTTTCTTTTTCATAGGTGAATGAATATCTCTCTCATAAAAGAGCATCAACATCTGGTTGTTGTGAATCATACGTGTTGAAAAGTTAGCATAGAAGTTAGAAAAAATGAATAAAGCAAGTAGTTTCGTGTTTTGCGACTGTTTAAGCCTCGAAACCTTCTATTGTCTAATCCGATATAGAAAGAACTAACGCTTGCGATCGGACACACAGCGATTCCACAGAAATCGTATCGAAATCTTATACAGGGTACTGACAAGGGGAGAAGTTTATGAAACTAAAGAAAGCTGAGCGTTTTTAGTCTTCAAAAACATTCATAACTTTTTCAAAAAAGGTCGTAGAATGCCCAAAGTGGGCTTATTTTGTAGCTCAAACGTTCCTCAACGTTAGTGAAGATCGAAGGTTTTTCAAAAATGAGGGGAAGTACTCTTAACTCACAACCGCTCGTTCGTTCTCTATGGTTTTTTGTGACTCTTTTGTGTTTCACATCTTCTCGAGATAGTATATATATTCGAGCGTATAGTCATTATTTTAAAAAAAAGTCAGTGGAGAAAGTTTTAGTAGTCAGAAGATTCTTCTACTATTGTGATTATTATTGTTATCTTCGATTGTATCCTTGATTCCTTCGTTCCACACTCTTTTTCTCTCGTATTTCTATTATCGTTTTCTAGGTATTTTGCGTGTATTGCTTCGAATTAGGAACAAAAATTGCTTGTGCTTTATATTAAGAACAGTGCTCCTGATTCCAGATACACGTCTGAGGATAATTTAATGTCTCTGCATAGAAATGAAATTCACGGCTGAACCACTGGAATTATATTCAGTTGATTATGGCGAGCATTTTTTGCTTCTAGAGTATAAAGAAAAATGAATGGATGTTGTTTGTTTATCCGTGTTTCATAGTTGTGCTCTACGATAAATGACGCACTTCAAAGATCTTTATTCTTCAGTGCTTGAACAAAAGTGGAGAATTTTTTTCCTGACAACTCAATGAAACCACAAAAAGGGAAAAAACACAATATGTGCGTATGGTGCAAGAACAAAAGAGAACAGTAACAAAAAGAAGCTGGAAAATTACAGAATGAAAAATAAAAAAAAAGGAGACTTTTGTTGGTTCTGGAATTCCCGTTTATTGATGCTCTGTTTTATTATTGCACCACTCGCATACATGGTTTTTTCCCATTTTCTAAAATTACAATCGTCGACAGGAATGTGAATCATACAGACGTAATCTGTTGAACGAGTGATAGATTAAATGTTCTAAAAGAATTGAAAAAAGAGGTCGTATGCTAATACTATTTTTAATTTCATATATTGAAAGCTTTTAATTTCATTTGTGACTGTCCTTTTTTCTTATTTGTCTTGCAGAATTCTTCCTGATAGCTGACAATGATGCAATCTTTTAATAATAAATTTAACGCACAGATATACTTCTCCATTTTGTTGTTTAGTTGTTGCTTATACAGTTGTGAAATTGGTATTTCTTCAAACAGATGACCTACACGATACAAAAAAATGATATTGTTTGAAACTTTGTCTCGACCGACTGTCTAGATGGGAGACTAAAATTCGGACATGAGGATGACGTGGATGGAGAGAAAGAGTTGAAAAAACTCTTGTATTCTATTAAATGTTGTTTTAGTCACACTTCATAGAGAAAAAGTTTGTTTATTATTGGTATTGATTATTCTCCTTTTTTTCTCTTGTGTTTCAGATGGCCTATACACATCCAAAAATGTCGACAATATCAACAATAAATGATTTAGCAGGCGAAACTTATTTGGATATATTCGAATATTTTTATATCAACGAACTATTCGATTCATTTTGGGACTTGAACTATCGACTAAACAGTCTCATCTGTGAAAACCGAATACCATTAGCAATTCGTTTTACAGATGCTCGAGAAAATGAATCAGCTCAATTTGCTCGAAAATTTTATTCAATGTCGATGGACCGTACATGCATTCGATCTTACACATTGTCATCAAATGATCTATCTCAACAGCAACTGTTGTTTATTGGTTCATTTTCTAAATTACAATCGTTGATAATAGATCCACTGAGAAATGTTGATTCAATTGAATTAAAACGATTTCTATTTGATCAACCACAACAACCATCATTAAAATACGTATCGATTAAATTTTCTACATGTTTTTCTCCTAAAGAATTTGATGAAATACTCGATTGTTTATACCAAATTCAATCATTAACTACATTGAAAGTCTATGGAAATCGACAGATGATCCTTCAGCTATCATTACCACTTCATGTTTTAAATATACAACGATTAACACTAGTGCCATTTCCTATTGATTGTGAAAATCTTTTACTAGCATTTGCTAAGTATTTGCCCAATCTTTGTTATTTAAATGGAACACTTAATTCTTTAACTGGTGCTGATAATGCTGATAGACCAACAGCCAAGTACTGGATACGTCATCATTCTGCATTAAACATGGCGCAATCATCATGTCTAATGCCAAATTTAAAACAGCTTTATTTTGATTTCCACTGTCCTATTCGTGTAAATGATTTTGGTCGATTTGATCAGATTCTTTCATCATTATTATTGTCATTACCCAAGTTAGAAAAAATCACTTTAGTTTTCTACGACCGCGTAAATAAACAGTTATTTTATCATTTATTCGATATAAGTGAGCAAAGTTGCTTTCAATATCAATATGATGAAGAAACGAACACAGAAATTCAAGATGGACATTCTAGAATGAAAATAATAATTAGAATTACCAGACAAAAAGCATACATATAACTCGGGTACTCTCTAGAAAAAAAACAGTGGTTCTACAGATTTACATATTCAACAAAAAGAATTAACGGAGCATAGCTAGAGAGCTAGGGACGCAAGTAGTTTTTAACAAAACCTGTTTCTTGAAGGTTTAAAAATACTTTGTCAAGACATATCATCCATTAAGAGGAATCTCTTGAGGCTTGTTAACATCAAGATTTACAATTGATGACGGCTGTTTTCTTTAAAATTATAACAAAAGTATCTGCAGTAGTTAAAGCTGATAACACAAATAACTTACATTTTGTCCTGGTTGCGGACGTGGTATATACTGTATATCGATTTCACTGCTAGCTGGCATTTTTAACGATTTCTAAATATTGACATGGACGCTTCCGTAGAGCATAATTCAATGACCCCTAATAAAACACACAGTTTTTCCTCCTTCGTAGTAAATTGTAAAAGCCAAAGGTCGATGCTCTTTTCCACTTTCATTTCGCCAAAATCATGTGTGTCGTAAAATATCGATCTTACAATAGATCTCTAGAAACCGAAGCTTTGCCAAGAGGTTATCAAGTTCTTACGATTTTATCTACGAGTCCATGTGAGCTAAGCGCTAAAACATTATTCTTTCTTCTTCTTTTTCTTTGGCTTTCATCTTTGATAGAGTAAGATGGGGTAATTCGGATCACTTTTCTAAACTTTCTCAATACTTTGGCTATAACTGATTCATTTCTGATTGAGCAAAACAGATTTTTGATATGTAGTAGGTGTGACATTTACCTATCTGATAATGCAAAAATTGTATTAAAGTTCATTATCGTTAATTAGTATTAATGAATTTCCTGTTAATCGGCGTCAACTGATCCGAATTACTCCACTTGGGTATATACCATTTCCTAACTCAAACACTTTTCTTGTTTACTGTACAATATACTCATCTTTTTTCACTGTTCACTCAAAACGTTTTGCGATAGTAGTTCATTTTATACTATCGTACTCATACGCAACAACTTCTTTCATACCTCTTACTTATTGTTGTCATGAATCTGAACTATTTGTACAACATCATCAGGTATGGTCAATAAATTAACTTAATGATGATATCTTATGACGGGATAACTACTGCTCTGATAGTTTTGTTACGCTTTGAATGGCAATACTGAAAGTCCGATATACACATTTCTGTGTCTGTTATTCCGCGTGTAAAATTCCTTGTGAACATCGTTCTGGATTCCGGGATACTTCAGACATGTTTCCAGTATAGAGAATGCTCAAAATTATTCCGTAGGAAAACCGACAATAATTCTTTTACTCCAGGTAACAACAGAGAAATAAGAAAACTCAAGTTAGTACAGCTCTCAACGTCATAACGAGACATTTTTACCATCTCAACATTTCTTAGGTGAAAGTCTATAAAAAGTGATGTGACGCTGATGAGACCCTCATAGCGTTCATAAATGTTATCCGATCGACTCATAATGATGCTACAAATATCGCTTATTACATATTGCGACATACGTATAGTGACAAGTGAGCGTGACAGACGTACATACATATAGTCATGTGGCAGTGTGACGGATGGCAATGATCAGTTTTCGAAAAAAGTCAGCATTAGGAACTTTTCGGACTGTGGCAAAGAACCGGGACCGGTTTCTGCTAGAAAATGGCCCAATATGATTTTGAATCAGAATGATCGCAAATGCTTCCATTTTCACTTCCCAACACTTCCCACTCTCAAAAATTCCTTCTGCTGTCTTTTAAACACAAATTACTGTTCGTTTTTCGCCACCTGTTCAACAAAAGCGATTTACATTTTTCCGCAGTTTTATCGTCCGATTTCCCCTATTATCAGCTTTTCTCAGGAAACGGC